TTGTCATAATGTCTGAATGCCTTTAGCAAGGAGGGGAAGTTTTCAAAGTTGACCTTCTTGAGGTGATGCCTCACTGCATTCACCAGGCTGCGCTGTCTGTCTGGGCCTCTCGTGTACTGCCGTGGACCTGTGGAGTAGATCAGCTCTCCAATGCCTGCAAAGGAAGTATTTGTTGTCTTCAACTGAAAAAGCTTTTTCTAAGGACACACCAAATATTCCCGTATGTAAGGCGGGAGAACATTTTTATACAAAATTTACCAAAATCATCCGGTGGTAAGACCATTCCAAACGTGTGATCAGGCGGAACAGGCAACGTTTTTTCTCTCCTGAAGAACATGAAAAGAAATGGGAAAATTAAATAAAATCTTAGTGAGATAATTGCAGGTCTCAAATGTTTCATTACAGACAGTTAAGAAAAAGAAAAAAAAAAAAAAAAAAAAAAAAAGTACTTGACGATGGTTTTGCCCATTTGTTGTGCTATCTTCTCTCTGTTCCCAGATCTCTTCCAAGCAGATGGATTGTAAAACCTAAGAAAAAAATATGAACAATTCGAGTTGGCTTTCACTTTTTAAATTAGAAGGACAAGGAGCAGATATGCAGTGTTAAGGAAAAACAAAAGAATTTGCTGCATGGCCACTTTATTTCGGTGCTTACTTCTGTGATTCACCCAGCCAATGAAGAGTTTTGCCAAGATTACGGCCATCGTTGAAATGAGGTGTGAGGATCCCAAACCTGCTGTCTTTACTGTAACGATTCCTGTCATAATTTCTATTAATTTGTTCACCTGGAATGAAGTAAGATAATCACACTGTGGTGAAAATGATGAAATGAATTCCAGAAATGGACCGTTAGTGGAAAGAGTAAAGACAGCATCAATAGTATGATTTTCTTCATTCTTACCAACAAAATAGGCATTACGGCTACGGATGTAAGCATCATGTGCCACCTCAGCTTCCCTCTCTACCTCCTGTGCTGTTTTTGCAGGGTTAATAATCTCACGCACACCCAAACCTTGATGAAAAGAACGGGAGATAGTCAGAAAATATATAAAAAATATAAGAAAAATATATAAATATAAGAAAACTTAGAATGTAAAACAAAAAATGTAAAAGTTTTAAAATGTTTCAATGACAGCACACAACCATTACAAACTTAGCCTCCTGGGACCTGGCGTCCACATATGTGGACATCACATTTTGGGTTGTCTAGACCAAAATACTAAATTTTGCCCTACAAGAGCCCGATATCCACTTACAAGGACGTTATACTGCCACTGTTCTATCAAAATTTAAAGCGAATGTCCTCATATGTGGATCACATTTTTCTTAGAAACAAAACTCAGGTAAAAAAATAAAAGAAAATCACGTAATCCTTTGTTTTTACATTCATCAGGTCCCAAATAGCTCAAATAGCAAAGAGAAATTAAAAATGCATGCCATGAGTTTCGGTCTTAGGAGGTTAAACCAACTTTCTTGTTGTTTTATTAGCTTTTGACTTATTTAATGTTATACATACCTTTTACTGTTTTTACGCCAAATGTAGTTTTCTCATTACACAATGGGGGGAGTTCAGAACGTTGGACACATGATCTGCCTAGAGGAGCCTTCTTATTTGAGGCATATACAGATTCACTTAGCTCTTGTAACTTCTGCTGGAACAAGGTCTTTGGGGATGGATTTAGCAAGCTTTCACTCTGTAGGAATGATGTAAAACAATCATTGTCAGTCAGTATTCTAAATGGTTCATTGTATACTTTAAATTTTCTACTCAAAGCAACATTGTGCACCAGCTTTCAAACACGGTGACATCACAAAACAGATGTGAATACAGAGAAAACTCCAGAAAGCAAATAGAAAAACCATCATCAATGTCTGCTTCTTAGGAAAATTCAATTTGAGGGGTAACATAAAATCATGAAAAAAGCAAATGACTTACTTAGGGAAACCACTATAATACAGCAGTACAATAAATGCGTCTGACAGGGGTAGATCGTTTTTACTTCCAACATACAAACATACAAATACATCCTCTTGCACCGCTTTGCCTCTAGTGCCATGTGCACACAGGCAGGTCAGAAAAGAAGGAAAATGGAAGAGAAGGTCCAATATTAGGCTTTTTCATTCTACGACAAAGCCAGTAAGTAGTGAGCCAGTGCTTTTTCAAGTGTTGTTGATCATTTCCTAAGTAATCCTACATTAATATTTTCCATCCCTTATAATTTGTTGATCATTATCAATCTCAGTTGATATGTGCTCAAGTCCAAAAGAGCATCCCAAAACACAGATACTGTATGTGTGTCAGTGAAGGTTCTCAGTCATCCAGGTCATTGTAGTCAAAGGAGCTTGGAAAGAAAAGGGTTTGAACTTCTTTAAGTTACTTGAAGACGTTTCACCTCTCATCCGAGAAGCTTCTTCAGTTCTAAGGGTCAAATGGTGGAGAGTCCCAGATATAAACCCAGTGGGAGTTTCCCCCCAAAGAGGGACAAAGGACCCCTGATGATCCTCTACCTAATCACGTGAGCCAAGGTGTGAAAGCGGGTGTGGGTCACAATCAGCCAGGGTTTCGGGTGAGCTCATTGTGAAACCTGGCCCCACCCTATCATGTGATTTCCTGAGGTCAAATGGCCCAGGATGTGAGTGGGTGTTAAAGCGTCTGGGAAGGGATCTCAAAACTGGATTATAGATGGCAGACAGTTGGTGTCGTAAACCACCGCCTCTGTTCAAAGATGGTCGCTCACAGGGGACGTAAATGGCTTCTTTCACTCCTCTTTCAAACCATCTGTCCTCTCTGTCCAAAATGTGAACGTTGGCATCCTCGAAAGAGAACGCCCAATTAAGATAACCGCATGTTTTAAGTGCTTCCTTTACATGTGTGTGTTCCTTCTTTTTCCCTTCAGGCTTAGAGGGAACATGTTCTGCCCGGTGGTGTAGGGTCCTAATTACCCCAAGTTTGTGTTCCAGAGGGTGATGGGAATCAAAGAGGAGGTACTGGTCCGTGTGTGTGGGCTTCCGGTAAACTTCAATGTTGAGGTTGCCATTCTCTTCAATGTGCACAGCGCAGTCCTGTATACTGTATGTGTGTGTTTTGAATGTGCACAAAAGTAGCCTTATATCTGATATCTGCACTCTAAAGCTTGTCATAAATCATGAAGAGTACAAACAAAAGTAAATCATACACATTTGAACACAAACTTAACAGGGATAACAAAAACAGAATAAGTGAGAGCCTCACTGTATTTTAATCCAGGATAGTTTGAACTTTTGCCAATGTTTTTGACATTTTTTTTTTATCATAAATTGATGTACAAAAGGTAAAAATTCACATATGAGCATCCTCCAAATCTTGAAATGAAATCTATTACTACTTTATCAACTGTAAGGTGGTGAGACTTACTTCCTTCCATACTTAAGTCACTAAAGTAAAAGTCAAAGTCCAACTTAAACAACAGTACAGTTGTATACAGTTACATACAAGATATTATTTGTAGCAAGTGCTAGTTTAAGTGCTAGTTCAAGTGTAACTTTTTATTGTGATTGCACAGTCATACTTTGTAAAATAGTGAAGGAAATTGTAGTACTACCATACATCAAAGATGTACAGCAGTATAAACAAAACACAATAAATAAATTCCATATATATGGAATAAAAAATATACAGTGTGTCCAGAAAATTTGATATACTATATTATATTTAATTTTCTGCACTGTATAAATGCCATTTCATTTATTGTGTCAATTCCATTTAAGTTATATGAGCCTTAAATCCACTACCAAGCAGAGCAATACATGAGTCATTGGTCATGATCTAAACAAAATATCAACCTATCAAATTTCAGTTTAGTTAAAAACCTTCCCTCCTTTAACAATCACAGGAAGCTCATACTCACAGTGAGGGGTGCTTTGGTGATGACACCATGAACAAGAGTGCTGCCAACATCTGGGTCATTTGCCTTCCCTGTGTGGACTCGGATAGTTCCTGGTCCGGGCTGGTTGCTATTGCGGAATTTCCTCACCACCGGTGGAGTCGTGGGCTGAAAATTACAGGGAAAGAGTTAACCCACAATTTCACACATTTTGTCTAAAAAAAAAAAATCTGATTAATAATCCCAACAGATGTAAAACAACTGTTTTAAACTGAGATAATAGATAGAGACGTCCAAAGAGCTTCAAGTGATTTTTCGGGGGGGGGTTTCACTTGGAAGTTATACTTTCCAACAATTATCCCCACTTCCGCATGCTCTGAATGCCATGTCTAAACAAATACAAATGAACTCACTCTTTCCACTTCTCGTAAGCAGATTTTGACACTGTCTCCTGGAGGTATTAGTTTCCCGGCCTGCATTAAAGAAAAAAAAAAGTTCACTATGGTTAATATTAGAGAAATAAAGGTCTATTTTACTAAAACAATACAATAGCAGTACGATAGCACAGGATAAGCTATCTTAAAATAGACTTACTTTCGGTATATTTCGGATTCTGTCAGTACATTTCACTTCGCTAGACGTGTTAATGTCAGTCATAATGAATTTAGATGGAGCCTTTGTAAAGTTTGTCTCTAACTAGGTATGGGAAGTTTTTAAAGCCAAACGGGTTTCTGTCGTGCTCGGACGCAGAGCTGTGCACCTGTTTAAGTACCGTTGCCTAGCAACATAGTTCAGCAATTCAACTTAATACTCTAGTTTGGTTTAAAATACCTTTCAAGCGAATCAAAGATTGTGATAGCCAATGGGGAGACCATGTGAATGACTAACTTGTCCAAAATAAAACACATTGTCTAATGTATTTATTGCTTTGAGTCAGTGGCATTAACCTTGAACCGCAATCCCTGCTTTTAGCTCACTAGCTTAAAGATTTAAAAAAATGTAAATACTCTCTTTTGTTATTTTGGAGACAGACATATTTCAATAAATTTGGTATGAATCCTGGCGTGTGATTGGTTGGCCACCCTGATACGCAGGCGGATTGTGAATTCCAGTCATACGATCTGTCATCATCCTTCGTACAATGCGAAAAGGGAAGTTGAAAGAAGTGGGAGAGCGAGATCGCTGAGCCTTATGAAATCTAACGTTTCAGCAGCTGGTTGGATACTCGACACACTGTGAACATACGTTGAAGTACTGCAAATACTGTCCTGGAGATACCTTTACCATTAACTACGCTCCTGTTTTTGATAGGTAAGTAGCTAATATTAGCTTTAGCTCACTAGCTGTAGGCTATCTGGAGGGCTCCTCCCGATGCGGCCGCAGCTGAACAACGTTAGCCTGCCCAGTACCTATTATTTGGCTAGCTAACATTAGCTAGCCGACACTGGAAGGGCCGTACAACTTAGCCTAGTTAACGTTGTTCTGCTGATAAATCTGGAGGTATCATCACGTTTAGATCACCCACACATTAGCATTAATCCACTTTTACTATCACAAACAGTTGCAGTCCTCTTTCAAACGCTGCTTGATAAGCTACTTCACTAATTCACCGTCATGGAGCTAACGTTAGCTAGCTGTCACTAGCTGTACACACCCAAATCTCCATCATCTGAGTTTGAGCATTTTCAGAACTTATGTAAGTGTCATATTTAGTGCGTATAAGCTTGATTGGCATGCTGCTACCCGCACTCACGCCAGCGTTAATCAAGCGAAATCATGCTTTATAACAAACGCAGATTGGGTTTTGGACTAGGCATTTTGAACTTATGAGCTAGCTATGTTGCTAACGCTAGCAGTTGCTACCAACTAAAACGATCCACTCGGCAACAACACAACAAGTTATTTGTGGTGATCTCTGTGTCGTAACGCGATTTCGACGCTCGAAGTTGACAGCAATTATTTTTGGAGCGATGTTCTGTGTTTAGTTTGATGGTGGAAATGGTTAATGTCTAGGTTACAGAGGTAATCCGTTGTTGTGGCTGTTGTTTGTTTGACTACAAAATCATGAAAGACAAACAACAAAACCACTAAATTAACCCAAATACTTTTTCCCACACATGTGTCCAGACTGGTGGACATGTGTCCTCTTTCTGTCTGCCTCACGTAGTTGAAGCCACACACACACGTTGTTTGTGTGTGAGTGTTGGGGTTTTCACTGCCAGAACAGTTGTTGAACTTGCCATTTGTAATTGTTGTTGAACTGGTACAGGGTAATAACGTTAGAGGCACAAGTATAAATATATGTATGACATCAGTTTCCGAAACTTTGAACATGCTGTCAGGCAAAGTTTTCTCTCTCTCTCTCTCTCTTTAAGTCTGGTATTGCTGCTTGTTACTATAGCGGACATCCAACTAATGTTTGTAGCTGAATGAGAGTCCGGTAATTTGAAATTATGTGTAATGTGTCAATTTGTACCAAACTAGAGTAAGTTCCCATTCATGTTTACGGGATTAGCCGTGGCATTTTGCCTTTGGATTTGGACTTCTTATTTTAAAAGATATATAGTTAAAACAACATTATAAAATTTAACAGATCAAATATCAATTGCCCTGATACGCAGCTCTATACGCATCTCTATGCATTTAAAAAAGTAGTTTCCAGGAGCTTTTTATGAAGAGTTCTAAAAGCGGTATTTTTAGATTTAGGAATAGTGGTGTGGGTCATTAACCAAAGGCTAAAGCTGAATAATTTAAAACACTGATCAATTGCAGGGTTTGTCCTGGTTCACAATCTGCCTTTTAGGGTTGACAGTTGGTCTGTGTATTGATAAAATGAGCATGTTACATTACTAAACCAGGGGGATGCATTTCCCTTTTTCTTTTTTTGTTTCTTTTATTTTACTTTGGTGGCTTCCAGAGATTTTGTCCTCTCCCCAAAGTGTATTAAATACAGGGAAAACCCTGAACTGGCACTTTGGTTGTTGCAGGGACTAAATGTTTCGCAAAGGCAAAATTACCATATAAATTCTTATTATCTTTCATTTTTGTATCAGTTAATAAGATCTTCTTTTATAATGACACCTTGCTTTATTTTCTTTCTCCTGCTCAGGTGTTTTTCTACAGTTTTTCACATCCCGGGGACGAGACCAGACAGTGTGACATGGCAAGTAGAGGCGGAGCCACGCGACCCAATGGGCCAAACGCAGGCAACAAGATTTGCCAGTTCAAACTCGTGCTTTTAGGAGAGTCCGCGGTGGGAAAGTCAAGCCTTGTACTTCGTTTCGTTAAGGGTCAGTTTCATGAATTCCAAGAGAGCACAATTGGAGGTACGTAATCCTTACGTCATCATAAGTCAGTGTTGGCGTGTTTGTGTTTGCTCTGTGAACAGGCCATCTCTGAGACTTCCAGTAAACCACATAATGGAATATTTACTAAATGTTACGCTAGATAACATAACTGCTACATGCAGATAGCTGTACTAAGAGTCATAGTCCCAGAGCCTAAAGTTCATTTAAGAAGTAAGGCTATAGAATCATCAAGGTGTGTTGGAGTAAAACAGAGAAAGTATCACCAGGGGAAACTGGAACTCCTCAAAAGAGCATGTAGCCAGTATGAGATTCAGTTGGGAAAAGGGGGAATGTGAGGAATTGTCAATATAAAAATGCCTTATTAGAACAGGCAGCTATGCAAATATTTTGGTCCATTAGGTTACTGCGTTTTGGTTATCTTGATAATCTCACCCTCAGCGCCAGGTGACACCTTTACTGTACTCACTACTGAAAATAATCCAATCATCCTGCCATTCCACCACTACTAGTCTGTGTCCAAGGCTGTGTGTTAAGATAAAAAAAAGTCCTTTACAGTCAGTGGTCTGCTGGCATTAGCTGATTGGGTAAAAACAACATTTAAGTGTTATTCACAGTTCTCATTTCAGTTAAAACGGAGCATAGTTTTCAAACTAAGGTTTAACATGTGGTTTAAAAGTGCCTTTGAGCAAATTACACCCATTTTGATTCTGGATGTTTAATGTCATCCCCAAAGTCATTCCAAAGTCATTCTACACCCTCACTTATCTTAACTGCACTACTGTATAGCTCTGTGTAAATAATCATTCTGTACATTCGATAATCTTTAACCCTACAACTGTTTACAACTTGCATAGTTCCCATTTCTGTATAGCTGTATATCTCAGATTCTGTAAAGTAATTTATTTCATATTCTGTATAGTTTTTCATATTTATATCCTGTTCATAGCCTGTACATAGCTTGTACTCACTACAGCCTGTACATACTTATAGTTATAGAATATTCACAACATACTTCATACCGTGTACATTATAACATACCATAATAGACCCATTTCTGTAATATACTCGCATATCTATATTATTGCTAATATATATTGTAATATATCTATATCACTAAAGCACTTCTGGATGGATGCAAACTGCATTTCGTTGCCCTGTACCTGTGCATGTGCAATGACAATAAAGTTGAATTCTATTCTATTCTATTCTTTGGTTTGCAACATTGGGCCATGTCACCTTGACTGAAACACATTTGTGTAGCTCAGTATTTAAAGACCCACTTGTCACTGGTCCGTCTGCTTTGTACCCCTGCAGCTGCCTTCCTGACTCAGACGGTATGTTTGGACGACACAACAGTCAAGTTTGAGATCTGGGACACGGCCGGTCAGGAGCGCTACCACAGTCTGGCTCCCATGTACTACAGAGGTGCACAGGCAGCCATCGTGGTCTACGATATTACAAATGAGGTTGGTCAGATTCCAGGCTTATGTCTGTGTAGCTGTTGGCACACCTGTTTTCATTTACCTTTGCTAGCTCAAACAACTTTGTTGTCGAAGATGAGGAAGTAGTGGGGCTTTCCACCTTAATATTTCTAAGCAGTGGTTAAGCTAAAAACAGAACCTTATTTTGGTATCCTGACACATTAAGAAATGACTCATCACTCAACAGACAATGTTTTGCAGACAGTGCTTAGACCTTAGATGTCTCCCGGGGGCATTGTCAGGGACGCGTTATATGTCAGCATATTTTCATGACAAAGAGAACATATCATTCTCTGTTTAATATGTAGACAGTGTGCAGGTTAACGATTTGTCCTGTTTCCAATGTTTGTCTGCTTCAACAGCCCTAGAGGGAGCCTATTATGCTAATTTCCAGCTTCATGCTCCTATTCTTAACTCAGAGTAGCTTTGTGTGATTCATAGTTCCAGATCCTCCTTGTTTACCTTCTGCTGGACATTAGTGGGTGTAACCTCTCAGCTCTTCTCTAGTCTCAGCTGAGACGAGCTCTTTTAACTTGCTTCCTTCGCCCTTTAACAATAAGAACTTAATTTGTGTAGCACCTGTAAATGCAGAGTTTACAAAGTGCTGTGACAGCCAAGCAAAAGCAGAATACCAAATTCAAACAGAAAGTTGGACATTAGGTGGAAAACGTTAACCTTAAAAATGGAAGAATTCTAACAAAAAATATGGAAGAAAATTAAAAAATGAATCTCAAACAATTCTCAGTCCTTGTGAACAAAACGTTCTAACAGCAGGTGGGTGGAGTTTGTGTTCAGTCAGAGCTGTGGGCCTGATGTGACCATAAGGCTGATTAATACTGACAACATACAGGGCCAAGAGTAGAACAGAGTGGCTGAAAGAGAGTAGCCTGAAGTCTGAGATTTGGGCTCACAGGGATTACTTTCACAAATGTCGATGTCCATTTTTGTGTGTACTGTGGAGATCCAGCATAACAATATCCAATGAGAGAAAAAAGGAAAAGCACGATAGATAGCATTTTAAACAAACTGATAAATAAATGAAACAGCTGCCAGTAAGAGAGCAGCTAATCTAGTTTTATCGTACATATCATATTACCTGAAAGTTGCATTGCTTCCTGGCCTGCATGACTAAAATGTGGATGTAGAGAGATTCTTTTTCCTTTCATCTACTGTATGTATGTGGATAGGTGTGAGTCATTCTTGTGTAAAAGCTAATACAAGTCAAATCGAATATAGAACAGAGCAGAGTTTAAAGTCAGCATTATTCTCTCCTGTAGGTTTTACTTTAGTGACAAAGTCAGTAGTCGTTCCCCTTATCTTTTAATAAAAGCAAAGCACAGAAAGCTATAAAGCGCTTTGACATTTCTTTATTATTATTAAAGGTGGTAATCTTTTAAAGCACAGGTGTTGAACTCCAAGCCTCGAGGGCCGGTGTCCTGCAGGTTTTAGATGTGTCCTTGATCCAACACAGCTGATTTAAATGGTTAAATGACCTCCTCAACATGTCTTGAAGTTCTTCAGAAGCCTGGTAATGAACTAATCATTTGATTCAGGTGTGTTGACCCAGGGTGACATCTAAAACCTGCAGGCCTGGAGTTGGACATCCCTGTTTTAAAGAGATCGGGCTGAATGCAACATTTGTTTATTGTGCTGCATAAGTCGTTGTAGTACAGCCTCTGCACACTGTGATGTTTACTGTAATATCTCATCAAAAGCACCACTATAATGATTGTGTCCCCTGGAACTTTCTTTAAAAGATAGACAAATCGGACATCATGGGAAAGTCTCCCTGTTATCGTCCATCACACAGGCCTTATTGCTATTTTCACTAACTGAGCCCCTCCACTTACCCCTCCCTGATTTGTTTTCCAGGAGTCATTTGTACGGGCAAAGAATTGGGTTAAAGAGCTTCAGAGACAAGCCAGTCCAAATATCGTAATAGCCCTGGCTGGGAACAAGGCTGATCTCGCAAACAAGAGAGCACTGGACTTCCAGGTTTGTCTTCTTAATTAACTTCAAGATGTGCGCAGAGCAGCAAAGTAATCTTCAAATAAAGTAGACTTTGTGGCAGGATTTGTTGAAGCTAACAGTAAATAATTCTTGGAATAATTGTCGTTCATAATCTGCTGAGAGAAAAACATCCTCTGCTTGGAACATGCCTACTTGGCTTTCTCTGCTGCTTCCTTGCTTTGTCAGTTCAAACTATGAAAAACTAATGATTTTGGTGTAACCTTCACAGGATGCACAGTCATACGCAGATGACAACAGCTTGCTTTTCATGGAAACATCAGCGAAGACCTCTATGAACGTGAATGAGATTTTCATGGCCATTGGTAAGTGTCTCTGCCGCAGGACTTCAAATATGAAGTGAAATACTGCTCGTGACCTTCAGAGCCAGTCACTAGCTGTAGTATTTAAGCACACTGAAATGTCTCTGAAGTATCCTTACTAACAGGAAATGATAGTGGCTGTGCACCTGTCGTGTTGTGTAAATATAATATTGTAGGATTCATCTCAGGGTGTGCATTTGTATGATAAAGTGCACAAGAGGCTCTTACTGTCTTCATCCAAGTGTGCATTTGAGTGCAGGTTGTGTAATATTAGGCTACCGTAATGCACTACTGGGCAGTCGGTTGGCTTCAATCCATAAACCTGGCAAATATTAAATGAGTGTGTGCAGTATTTATATGCAGGTGATCATCTGTCATTAATGAGCTGGATCAGTGGAAAAAAAGCCGCTGCAGAGTGTTAGCAAGAACCGGCGGGTTTTAAAGTGAACTGTGTGGTTTGTTAGCAGCTGCTAAATGACTCGTGTATTCACAGATAAATGGTGGATACTTGTAACGCGGGATGTTTGCAACTAGGTCCATAGCAGTTAATCCATCAGGTTCTGAAATTATATGTTGTATAGTGCTCACTCAGTCGTCCATCTTTATCCCCGATTGTTGAAACTTTGTCAGCAACCTCGAGTAATGTTGCATTTGAACAGATATTGTAATCTGAATCTAGTTTTGGTCTCAGAGAGTTGACGCGCGGCTAAGCTTTCATGTTGCTGAAGGAAGTTTGAGAGATGCAGTCGGGACTATGATGCAGCTTCTGAAAGCTTAACTATATTTAGTTGAGTTTTGTATTTATTTAGTCTACTCGGTGGAATGTCTTGCAGAATATGGTGTGCCAGCTGGCACTGTAAAATGCAGTTTGAGGTGTAATCACTGAGGCAGTACACAGTTTGTCCACCAGAGAGCGCTGCCAAGTTATTTTTAAATTGCGAAAGGTCTTGATTAGTTGCTCTCAGTTCTGTGGAAGTGCTTTTTGCTTTTTCATCCAGATGTTTTAACTGATGATGGACACACACTGTGTGAGAAATTCTAAACATTTAATAGGCAAAATAATATATTATCAGAAAGTATTTGAGAAGACTATAAGCGGATCAGTCTTTATAAAAGGGAGGGGGAAAAATGGAAACCATTTGGCTGTGAGAGCGTCGGTGCCACTGAGGTGTAGGGCCACACCTATCTTCCGACTAAACCTTCATTTTGATCCTAGCCACACTCCTAAAGTGTCATGACTAGGTCATGGCAAGTTATGACATCGTGTTGACAAAATCTATCCCTGGACAAATTAACACCCGCCAAAGTACTTAGAGACCTATTGTAGTAAGAACTAGCACAAAGGTGGTTTTCACATGTGGCCATGATGAGACAATGACTCACAGAGTAAAAACAATACCAGTCATGTCTGCATGGCTGGTAAGAGCTGTTAGCTGCATTCCTGCCCTGACATTAGCATTGTTGCAACAGTTGGGGTGTGACTGTTCACACAGACATATAGGCTGTGCCAGAAATCAGTGCTAGATACTTTTCAGGGCTTTTCAAAAATACATTTTAGGGCTCATATTATTTGCTTAGTAAGTTAATTAATATCTCAAAGCGACTTCTCATAATGTTTCTTCACCCTGACACGCTGCTTTGGGAAGGAAATTTGGACTTTTGTGGAGGGGCAAAAACAGAGAGGGAGGTCGTGACAGCATTATTGCAAAACCGACTCGAACATGAAAGACATTTTATCTCGAATATATCTCTGAAAGCTAAAATTACAACTGGAAAAAAATTATTAGGTATTATCTAAAATGTATCAAAAATAATGGGCTTATTTGAAGTTACTCTTCAAATAATTTTTGATGTAATCACCTGTCAGGTTGTGGTCTTTGCTTTTCTAAAATTTCTGTAGGAGCATTACTGATCCGCTGTCTTTCTCACTGCAGCAAAGAAACTACCCAAGAATGAGCCTCAAGTGACCGGAGCCAGCACCGGACGGAACCGGGGAGTGGACCTGACAGAGACTGCTCAGCCCACCAGCCGCCCATGCTGCGCTAACTAACCCAGCTCTTCCTGCTCATGCTCCCCACACAAATGCACTCTCCTCCTTCTGGCTCCTCCCTTCCTTCTCACCTGAACAACATCTGGACATCGGGCTGCTTGGCTTTCTGACGTCAGACCTGACTTCAACCTCACTCCCCTGGAATAGCTAAAAGACTCTGTATAGCTGCATTTCTAATCCTTTTTTTTTTTTTTTTTTTTTTTTTTTT